CCCTTCGTATGCTCACATGAGGAGTCCAGAAATGATGTGTTCAGTTGTGTATGTGAAGATAATGAAGGAGTTCCTTTACTGTGGTGTTTTAGAAGACCACGGTTGATGTCCTCTGCCAGCATCTGAAAAGTTGCAGGTTAGGAATATTTTGCTTTCCCAGATGATTAAATAAGCAGGGTCCCACCATTTGGCAATTTCCTTAAGACTCCTTTATTTCCAAGTCAGAAAACCAGAGCAATCGGGGCCCCAGTAGCTGATGTTCTTTGCTCAGACCTCGGGAGCGCCTGCTAGGAGCCAGTGTCCTGCCACAGGACGACGTTGAAAGGCTTCACTAGGGGTTAATACTGCCCAGTCAATACCACACTTGGTGGACACTTCGAGAACAGCCTTCCTGCATGACACGGCAGAGTGGGCACACGGCTGCCGAGTCAGCTCACGCGTTCAGCCTCCCCGGGGCACCACCTCGGAACAACACAAACTTATGTAACATCTCATCTAAAGCCTGTGGAAAGGTTCCGGATGACTTCAGCAGGGCTTTGGACCAAGTCCTAATTGCCAGAGATACAGTGGAAACTTTTGAGCTGCGCATCCACATCCTTTTACATCAAGTGAATACGCATGACAAGCTCAGTCTTGCTACTTCGGACCCGTCTTTTTTCTTTTTAAGACAGTATTGCAGAGAAGTTAGCTTTTGTAAAATGAGGTCCATGTATAAAAACCACAGCCACCCCAAGCAGTGCTCAGCAAACATTTGTGCTCTAGCAAGTCAGGAAGAGCTTTTTGTGCAGAGACCTGCTGCTGGGCTCATTATTTCAGAATGCCGCGGGCAAGGGAAGCCAAGGGAGCCCTCTGACGAAAGACACGTTATCACAGAATCACAGAATTGCCTAGATTGGAAAAGACCTTTAAGCTCGTCGAGTCCAATCATTAACTGAGATAGGGCTTGGGTGCAGGACGCTGAAGCCTCGCTGTGCTCCTCACAGTTTTGCCTTACTAACAGTGAGAGAAGGTTGAAAAAAAACTGTTCAGAGCAACAGCAATGTTATTGCTGTAATGAAAGCTTTCTGCACAACACTATTAACTTCTCACATGTCTCTCCACAAATCTAAAACGTTACGGGGAACAAAATGAAGCTTTAATATATGGAAACGGTGCAGAAAGTATATATTATATATCATGTCTTTGTAATCTGT